TGCGCCCAGGCACGTCATCTAACCATTCTGAACCGGCTTCCTCATCCACAAAAAATACCTGTAATGATGATGCTGACCTCAAAACGCCATTGCATGAGTTTGACCCAGTGCCCAGCACCTAGTAAGCCCCTAATAACTAATAGATGGTAATCTATCCGTGAATCTCTATACACTACACACTTGGCACGCATTGGCCATTTAATCTTCCCTATGAGATAGAGTCTATTATGATCTTCATAGCACAGCTAAAGAAAACAAGGTGCTGAGTGGTTGTGTGGCTGTTCCAAGGACAGAGACCACAAATTAGAGAAAAGAAAAAGGGCCATGAACCCAGATCTGTTGGGTTCTAGACTTCTAGGGCTTAAGTGCTGTCTCCCATCCAGGATCACATTAGTAGCTATGAACGGATGGAAGGATGATTCGAATCCATGTCAGCTCCTTGGCAGGCTGAGTGCTGCCTGGGAAAAGGGAAAACTGTGCTAAGGAGCCCCCGTGCAGAACCCTCTCCCCCTGCCCCATGGTCCTGCCTTCCATCTCTGACCTCTGCTTGCTCAGGACCCTGCTCACATTCTCTTCTGCTGCAATTTCCTTCAGGCTAGCACAACGCCTTCTGCTGCACTGGTGGGGTTTTTTGTTGTTGTTGTTGTTTCTTTCTTTTCTAATCTCAGTTTGGAGCAGAGAGAATGATATAAGCTCTGGAGCCAGACCATAATTCTCTGAATACTGATGCTGCTTAGACACCGACAGGCTGTGGGAACGTCTCTGAACCTCAGTTTCTTCCCTTGCCAACTGGGGATCCTTCTTCCTTCAGGCTCTCTCTGGAAGGTGTTTGGTCATCATCATCCATCCGTGCTCCACGGATGGTCCGTGCTAGCTTACCATTTGCTTAGCTGATTCATCTTTAAGTCACCCAGAGCACCTAGCGTGGTACCTTGTACAAAGCAGGTACTCCTGTGGATGTCTGGTTGGATTGGAAACTGGAAAGTGCTAGGGATGGGGAACCAGACAAAACTATGTGGTTAAAGTGAGAGGTCTCCACTCCTCACTGCTCTAAACCACTCCTTGAAGCTGCTAGCCTCAGTTTCCCCACCGGTCACATCGAGTGGTGGTTCCTCCTCCAGGGCTCACAGAAATGGCAGTTCGTAACATCGGTGGTTTCTAATGTAATAAGATGGATAATGAAAAGATTCTCCTTTCCCAGGCCTAGAGTGAGTCAGAGCTCTGTGCTTGGCTTTGCCCCAGGGAGTACTGAGAAAATGAAATATCCTCTGTATCCTTATGACACCTAAACAAATGGTCAATTCCACGGGTCACAAAACAGCCAGAAGGGCTAAGAAGCATCTCCAGTGAAGGGAGAGGGCAAGGGCAAGGAAATGACCACCGGCAAAGGTCACCCAGTGGGAGCCCCGCCTGCCTCACTGCCACTATTAAAGCTAATACCTGTTTGCTTTACACCGGGGTGTTTGTTTTGCCTTTGCAAAAGACACCAGCAAATGACAGCATGTCTGAAATCTGCAAGGCTTTTGAACTTCCCCATCTGGCTCGATAATCTCTTCCACATCCCGATACCTGAATCAAGACACAAGTTCTCAGCTAAGCAACAAACTGGTCTCTTTCCTAAGAAAGAGAAACCAACTCTGAATCTCACGTTTGCTCCTTCCCCCCCCCCCCCGCTTCCTCCCCCTTTCCTTCCTGGCTTTTTGCCACCACAGATAAATGTCTGATAGGCTGTTTTCACATTGCAGCTGGTTCCTGTGATCCTGTACACGCAGCCTCGGTAGATTCAATGGGGTGTTGCTGGCTGTTCAATAGCTGATGGAATGAAGGCCCAGGACGTGGGAAGCAGGCCAGCACGTTGGAAATGTAGACTTGGAGCTTGCTCTGTGGCTGTCCCACCCTTCCCCTACCTGAGTTACCATCTTTCCCGAAGCTCACCAGCAATATCTTCCTCCTCCCATTTCCCTTCAGGATTAAAGCAGTTCATGAGTAGCTCCTCTGAGGTGGGAATGATGTGAATAGCCTCCCACGCCCAGCATCCTGACTGGGAGGAAGGGCAGTGGTTTATATTCAGGAGCTACTCCAGCCAGCAGGTTAACTTCGGCTGTCTGGCTCTATAGAGCATTTCAGTGGGTGATCTGGATCGAACCACTAAGACCAAAGACAGCCTCTCATTTTCTTTAAGGTCCCAGGCAAAAGTTCGCCCAAGTTCTCTTGGTCTCCTGAGCTATCCCATGTCCAGTCATGAGTGGCATGCCTGCAGCAGGAGAAGCCCCATTCTGTGCACGGAGCTCAACACAGCAGCAACCTATTTCCTCTGCACCGACTCCACAATGCAAAAGTAGATACAGGAGAATTCTGTGAGGCTCTTCTTTCAAAATCTTCACATGCAACTTAGGTCAGACAATTTATTGAAACAATCCATTTTCTAGTCTGTCACCAGCACTGAATTTTGTTTTAAACCTCAAAGAAGCTCCTTGAAATTGTGTATTAGGAACAACTGGAGAGTCTATGCAACCATTCAAACCTTAGCTGTGTGAGGACCGCCTTTAGGTTGATAAGCTTAGCTGTAAATCACTTGAGTGACCTCTGCTCTCCTCACCCCTTAATGTCAAGTGATGGTGATTATCAAGGTCAGCAGGGACAAGCCCGAGGTTCAGGGAGGTGCCAGGCTCGCCTCCTTAGGCACCAGCAGACACTCTCCATTGCTCTGTCACAGGTCCCAGCTGCACGAGTAACTCTTGGTGAAACACCATTTTTTCTTCTGTCCGTGGGGAATGGTTGTGCCTCTTTCCTAGATTCCTTGCAAAGAAAAGAAAAAGAAAAAAGAAAACGGAGAAATACACGTGATCAGCAGGAGCTCACCGATTGTGAGTTCCTTCTCAGCACCAGTAGGTCAGATCACCACTGGTCCCAAAATTGACTGCTCGGAAAACAGCTCCATCGCTAACAGTCACTCCGTCCCCTACTTTGCCCCTGGAGGAATGGTAGGAGGTAGCGGGGAGAAATGTTGACCTAGTGGCTAAGGCCTTCACTTTGGAGTAGACCCCATGATGGGGTTTGATTCTCAGCTCCTCTTTCTGATGGTTTTGTGGACTTGGGGCAAGGGTTCGACCTCCCGGTAACTGGGTGTTTCAACCACAAAATAGAAATGAGAATGGGACTGTTTCTCATGGGATCGTGACAAACTTAGCCAAAAGAACTTAGCTTACTTTTTAGGACCTAAATAAGTGTTGGATGAATGATAACTAATACCAGGAGACAGAAGAGGAAGGATTGAGAGTTCAAAGCCAGCCAGCTGGTAGCTGCTTATCCAACATGGAGATAAGGCAAAAAGAAGAAAACCCAACAGATAATCCAGATCCCCTAAATCCCTTCCCCAGGTGCTTGGCAGTCCTCCCTCTGTCTCTCTCTCTTTCTGTCTCTGTCTCTGTCTCTCCCTCCCTCTCTCTCCCCCAAATAGCCAGCTAGCAACTTCCCCCCTTCCCCTCCCACCTTGACTCACCTATCACTTCAGTGACATCCCAACCATCCTAAAAATCCCTGTCAGCAGGTGGCTGTCCTATAGTTTTTTGATCTACTTGTTTACAGTCTGTCTCCTCCCACCAGAAAGCCAGGCCCTTGCAGGGCAACCATCCATTCCTGCAACGATAGCTATAGGACAGTGTCTAGAAGAGGACAAGGACAGACAGTAGGTACTCAGCAGTAGTACTCTGTGCCCAGAATGAATGAGTGCAAGATTGAATGAAGGGATGGATGGAGGGATGGATGGATGGATGGAACGGTGGTTGGATGGATGGGTAGGTAGATGTATGCAGGTGTGCATGGGTAGATGGATGGATGATGCATGGATGCATGGGTAGACTGGTGGATGGATGGATGGATGGAATGGTGGTTGGATGGATGGGTAGGTAGATGTATGCAGGTGTGCATGGGTAGATGGATGGATAATGCATGGGTAGACATGGATGGATGGATGGATGGATGGATGGATGGATGGATGGATGGAATGGTGGTTGGATGGATGGGTAGGTAGATGTATGCAGGTGTGCATGGGTAGATGGATGGATAATGCATGGACGCATGGGTAGACTGGTGGATGGACGGATGGACGAAGAGAAGCCTCCACGTTTTATCAAGACCTCAGAGGATGCGGCTGGGGAGATCAGCCCTGAGGGGTGCCCTCCCTCCCTCCTGCCCAAACCCCTGGGTTACTCCTCCCTCTCCCCCCCTCTCTTTTAGGGACTTGGACACACTGCACCTCCCGTCCGATGCACGGGCCGACTCCGGGCGCGCGCCCCGTCTCCACCTCCACCGTTAGAGGTAAGCACCCCAGGCCGCCCCGCTCTTCCCCCCCCCCCCCCCCGGGCCCGCGGGGAGCCGAGCGGCGGCGG